CCAATTCATGCGCTATGGGTAAGTAGCTCATAGAAGGTTTCATACTTGGCACGCAGAGAATATATTTACAAAGTCAAATTTGAAGAAAGGCCACACGCTTAGCATGGGAAGGTTCAGCGCTTGAGTGATTATAAAAGCCTTGCATGCTTGAATAGGACTCAGTAAGTTTCTTGTTAAATTTTGGGGCAACACTGGAAATCAAGATACCAGGAAAGATGGTATCACCCAAAGGCGGAAGATTTACTAGAGCTCCAACGTCCCTTAAAGTAATAGACATGGGACTAGAAGGGAAAACGAATGTGTTATATTCAGAAGACCAAAAACTCAATGTAATAGGAAAAAGCACTGGGTCGAAAATTGGGGGTTGAAGAGTGATTTCTAATAAGTCTGAAATCCTAGCACGATCAAAAATCACCTTGGTAGGGCCATGATTCACAAGACGTGCATGCCATCTACGAAAAATAACATCAGCTTTGGGCCAAGTGCGAATACCTTTTTCACGAATCGGCCTCAGTAGCAGAGAGTTCAGGAACGGAGGACCTTAAGTGTGAGGGAACAGCTGGCCCACCGCCACTTTTCCAACGGCTTCGGCATTATTAAACGATGGACCCAGATAGAATTCATTGAGGTCAGTATTAGCTTGTGCAAGGAAGTTTGGATTTACATACGGCCTAGTAAAGATTTTCTGGAAATCTTCGAAACTAAAAGAATCATCAGATTGAGTTTGTGAAGTCGCCATTGGGAACGAAGTATAGTTTTGTTAACGTTTGCTTGAGAAACGCAGCAGAGAAGCAAGGAGATGAAAAGTAAAATAGCGAGGAGGAAGCACGAAATATAGAGACGTAGTTTAGTGGTACGATGAAATGGCGTATGTTTTGAGTTTATAAGGGTTCGTAACGTTGCACCTTTTTGGGCTATAGAAGGAAATAAAGATTGAAATTCTTGGGAATTTCAAATATTGCTGGAAAATACAAAGTGAATATGGCAAAGATTAATAATTGGTATTAATTCTGCCATATTGAGGGGTAATTGTTAACACAGTAAAAGTGCAGCCCAAAGAGTGAAGCCCAATTGGAAAATCCAGGATAAAGGTCCAAACAAGATTATTGATGAATATGGTGGAAGCCCACGAACACGATAATATCATCGCCCAAGCTTGCAAGACGCCTAGAATCTGAGCGAATGGAGTACCTTACGGTCGCCTAGAGCGATGACCCCGTTCTCGTCCAAACCTTTGAATCGCCCAGGATCTTAGCAAGGATAAAACATTATGGTTATCCAGAATAGTAGTTATTGAAGCAGTTATTGAGCAATCTTATCACATTCCACGATTCAAGTAGCCTAGTTGAAGGCGGTTGAACGACAAAGCGTAATGACAACTGTTAGATACGACAGTTCCACGACAAGTTAGCCACCATAAAGAAAGTGGGTAGTTATACAGCAATCAAACAGTTTCCAAGCGGTTTGTCACGAATAAATCATCAAGGGAATATAAAATGAAGAGAAAACATAGAGAAAAAGACCACGAATCAAACACTCTCAAACAGAGAATATGTAATTTTAATTTCTTAGCTTAGATGTAAACACTTTTTTTATTACTCGTGTGCTTGCGCCCCTTGGAGGAATTCTGTTTATTTCCAATTGTAAATCACCGCCAATAAAACACCCCTTTTCGGGATTTCAAGAGGTCTGTTCTTTATACAATCGTCTGATCCCTTTTTTAATTGTTAGCGACTATCCGCATGAAACACTTTCTTACTAGACATGAAAGAAGAAAAAAATAGTTTAATGAGAAGAGAATATAAATGTTTGGAAGGACATGAACAACAAACATCCATTTCCATGCCGTTTGTTGGGTGGTCTCATGTACTTATCTGAAAAAATTGAAATCACAGCCTTATCAAAATTTTTCAGACTTTTAAGTGCATTTGCTTTGACCAATTCTTACATATTCACCAACAAAAATTTATAGGAACTCCAAATGCAAGCATCCTTAAAGCAATAGTTGTCTTTTGAAGAGAAATAAAATAATAGATCCATAGGCATTTCTCTTTGGGACGAAATACGCAACATGAGTTTGTCTTTTTTTCATTCGGCAACTCTCCCGTGAAAGCTATTTTTATCTCCAAATTTTCATCCTAGCGAGTTGGAATTATCAAGAATCAGATTGATTAAACGAGTACAACGCATAACTATAAAGGAAAGAGGATAAATAATGTGCTTACACAACCTACAAACATGGCTTCAGGCTGCGTCATTTGCAATCTTTTAACCAATCAACGTTAGCAAAACAAACATGGCGACGGCGACTTCTTCTCTGCGGATGCTAAGATCTGCTCTTCATGAAGCTTATTTGGGGCGCCAATTACTTCGACTAGATTGTGTGTATATGATGGAGAAATTTTATTTCCCCCCCGCTGGTGGATGGGATTAAAGAAACCTAAAGCAGATTAAATTATTTGGCATCTTATTGAGTTTGCAAAATCAGTGATCAAAGAGGAGTCAAGAGGGGAATGAACAGAAGGTAGTGTCCAGAATGCAATGATTACACTGATACTAAATATAAATGTTGCAGTGAGACCATATACATAATATTTTGGTGTAATGGTGTGGAAACTGTAATCCAAGATAGCGAGGGGATGGAAATTGCTGCAGGGTCGACACACTTTACAGACTACATTTTCAGCTGAAGATGCAGATGCGATTGCAATGCGCAGGGCTGTTGTTTGCATAAATACATGGACTTTTCAGCGAGGTTGGACAATGAGATACCATTAGAGTAATTCAAAGTCTGAATTCAGATTATGTATTTGCTTCGAATCCTGTCCTAATAACTAATATCATAGCACTTGTGAAGGAGCTAGGGCGTGGTTCGTGTCGCTTTAAGCTTAAAAAATACGAATCGTCAACCATTAGCTTTAGCCCTAGGTTCACGAAAATTTAATGATTCTAATAAGTAGCAATTCTGTATTCTAGATCTGACATCCAAATGGGTAGACGGACAAGTTGATCGAGCTATATCTATTATAGAGATGTCACATCGATTAATCACAGAAAATCTTGTACGGAAAGTTCTCTTTGGAGTAGGCAAAGCAAAAATACGCCTCCGTGTGTTTAAAGGCCTCCTTTGTTGCCCCATCTCGAATTGCTCATAGTTTGAGCATATTGAATTCCTTTTTTATATAATCAGCCTTTCTTCACGAACGATCTTAATAAAAGTTTCTTATTTAAAATTTTAATTGAAGTTAGCGATCTAGAGCCTATTTAAGCCCAATTTTTGGTGTATAATATATTTGGAATAGTAAAATGACAGAATGTGCAGTTAAAATATATATAAAAGTTTTGAATTTATGTGTAATATTATTTCATTAAAAAATGTGTGGTGGAAAAAAAAGATAGAAAAAAAATATATTTTGAAAATAATGGGGATCAAATAAGGGCCTAATTGAAACTAAATTGAATTTTAGTGAGTCAATTGGGGTGCGTTTGACTTGCGTTTCCATTTTTTATTTTTCAGTTTTGAATTCATTTTTAGTTTCTTGTTTTTAGGAACTATTTTCGAATTACAGAAAACATGTTTAGATTTTCATTTTGAAAAACGGTTTCTCAAAATATAAAACTAGAAAATGCGTTTGGTTTAAAAAAATTTTGAAATTGTTTTATGACATTTATTCAATTAATTTGATTATATAGTAAAACATAATAATTTTATGTCAATATATTACCAAATAATATATATTTTAAACTTAGTGAATTTACTATTTTTTCTTGCTACAAAAATAAAATAATAAAAAAGAAATTTTTAGAAGTTATTTTATGACATGTATTCAATTAATTTGATTATTTAGTAAAACATAATAATTTTATGCAAATGTATTACCAGATAATAAATATTTTAAACTTGGTGAATTTACTATTTTTTCTTGCTATAAAAATTAAATAATAAATAATAAATTTTTAAAAATTATTTTATGATATTTATACAATTTATTTGATTATTTAGTAAAACATAATAATTTTATGCTAATATATTACTCGATAATATATATTTTAAATTTGGTGAATTTACTATTTTAAAATTACTGCTAAACATCCTCTGGGTTTCAAAAAAGGGCGTGTTTTGAGCTTTTTCTACGTTTTGAGTTTTTTAACTGAAAACACTAGAAAGGGGAAAAAAATCTTTTCGAGTTTTCAATTCTTTTCCTTGTTTTTGACACTGCATTTTCGAAAACGTGTGACCTAACACGGAGCATTTTCGAAAATTAGAAATAGAAAACGACAAACCAAATGTGCTCTTAGATTTTAATGACACCATCGAGAGTTGGATTAAATTTTGGTTACTGCAGATAAAATTTACCTAGCTTCCTAATAGGCCGAATCTCCATAGATGTTTGCCGCGTAATGAGAACAATAAGTAATATGCTATTTGTACATAATACGGTATTCAAAATGGTGTCAGCTCACCCTCAAAATTCAAAGGGTGTCTCCCTCCATGCAGTGGCGGAGACAAGTATTTGAAGTTAATGAGGCACATTCAAATTTATTAAAAAGTTACTAAAAAATTATGTATTCTACAAAAACACAAATGTTCACAAATTTCATATATATGAAAAATAACAATTCTCAAAGAATTCCAAATAATTTTACATATATTATGAATAACAATTTTCAAAGAATTTTCAAATTAAGTATCGTAAATGACAAAATAATCTCAACTCTCACTATCTCAATTGTTTTGTCATTGCTATAACTCTATTATAATAAAAAAATGCCCAAATATCGTTATTGTCCAATTCTGATTTTTGGCTCAAAAAAACTGTTGAGGTTGGTGGGTCACTTGACTCACTAGGTCCGCCAATGCCTGGGGCTTGATACCGTAATGTAAGTGTTGTATCACCCAAGAAAGTAATGGAAGGACCCACGTGGAAGTTGATCGGATGTGGATACTGTCATGACACCCTGTAACATAACCAACAAGATTATGCATCTTGTACCGTTGATTGATCAAAAATAACTAAAAAAACTTTTCCGCCTTGATTACGTACATTTTCGATTTGAATATTCCCTCAACCATTAATTCGTAAATCTTATGTTAAAACCCCTTTTTTGACGACGATTTTTCTTTATTTTATTATCAGAAGATTATATACAGAACATATATCAGTTGAGAAGAAAATTCAATTGGAGGCTTAATTTTGTTGCCGGAATTAATCGATCAATCACCATGAGTTTCCTTTTTGGAAAGAAAAAGACTCCGGCAGGTTCGTTTCTTTGTTTGCTTTGCACTGAAGTAATATCATTGGTTTTTGCTCTTTTTAATTCAGGAATTTCATTGGGTTTGTAGTTTTCTGAATTGGGACTAATTTGATGGTATGATATGGTTTTGGATGTTTTGATCAGATCATGTTATTGCTCAATTACTTGTGAAATGGAAATTTCCTGTTATCTATTTTGGGGAATTATTTTTGGTTGGGGAAGCTAGAAAGAAAGACCAAATGTATAGAAAAGGTTTATCTCTGTTTTAGAAAATCTTGTTTTAATTTATTTGTCTCGAATTTGAGATTAGTATTATGGACAGGGGAGCAAATTTCTGGGGGTGGAATGAGCAGCACACATGATGAAACACAAGATCATTGCTGTAAGCTCAATTAGGAGTTGGGTATAGATCATAGAGTTTAAGAATCATTGGGAAAATGTGGTAATATTTGTTAAATAGAGATATTTCTTGAAGACAAGAACTAGGTAATTTTGTTTCTTTATGAAGATCTATGTGGGAAATGATCTATACTGAGAATGTATTTGTGGATTCAATGGCCTTTTCAAGGCATAAGGGCCTACAGTTCTTTTGACAAAGTGAAGAGGTTAAGTCAAATATCAAGTTGTACTTTAGATATATAGTATATTTAGATTACCTGGATATGGGAATAGGCATACTTTGTCTCTAAAAGACTATGCATTTTTTACTGTCTTTGTCCCAATCCATTCCATATCGAAAAGATATATCCTTTTAAGTTTTAAGATTTATTTTATCATGGTTAAGTTAAATGAGAAAAACTATATCGTTTAAGTTTGACTATTTATTCTGTCATGGTTATGTTAATGAATGCCAGAAAACCATTTTGCTTCTTTATTTGGTCTCTTTCCTTCTTAAAATGTGAGTGGTAGAGAGATTATGGTCAATCTGTTAACCTTTACCCAATTTGAAAATACTGTCAGTTCTAATTAATGGAAGCTCGTATTCTCTTCGTGCCAACATACCTCATTCATGTGTTTGGCATTGCAGTGACAGACTGTTTTGTCCATGGCATAAGGTTGATGTCTCTAGAACCGTTATTGCATTACAACAACTTTCTTTGAAGTGCGGCAAAATATGCTCTTAGAAACAAAGCTTATTTCCAATAAATTTGGGGCACGAATTCTTTTTCATCATATCAAAAGGTTTAGTTATATCAAATATTTGGCACCACACTAGCTCATGTTAATTTGGGTCTGCCTCTCTCGCTTTTAACCAATTTTACTGGATCACTTCACTCTTGTTTACGAGAGTTTCTACACGCATGTAGCAGTGTTATTGCATTACACGGGACATCAATGTTACGACGACACATATGATTATGCTTTTTTATTAATTTTGTTTAGAACCATCTAAGCCTACGTGTTGTGGGGAATTAAATAGACATGCACAGCAGAAATTTTAAACTTAATTTCCTACACATGAAAACTTTGATGTTCTAATATGATTCGTAAGAAATCGTTACATCTTAAAGATTCAGATGGTAGAAACTGATTTTTCCTTTGAACTTCCAGTCTTGTAAAATTTGTTTCCTCTGCACAACAACAATTCCACATCTTCATCGGCCTTAATAGCCTAAGAGATAATTCCTTTATTCTATATCTCGATTTACCATAGTAGTGCAAGTGCTCTGTCTTAATACTAATCCTCACGGGAAAGTTGGAAGGCAAAAATTCCTACAATAGGAACAATGAGGCAGACGACATATAGGTTTTGAGAATTATTTTTGTGCTAGCAAAAATCTATATCCTTTCAACCTTAGTATCAAACGATTTATAGACGTTTGTAATCATAATGCTATTAAAAATAATAAAAACCTTTATAACGCTAATAGCATTGTGACAATAAAAACTTTCTAAATTTATTGTCCCCAAAAGTAATTAATTTTATTTTGTAAATTTAGCCCATTAACTAAATCTAAAATTAACTAAATGCATTAAATAATTTTGACTCATTAGTTAATAGTCCAATCTACCAACTAATTAGTTGCACAAAATGCATCATACCTGTCAATTAATTAAAATTTCACTTTCATCTTCTAGTACTCACCACTTTTATGTGATCTATTAGGATCTCAGTAAGGATCACAACTAATGTGAATTATTATCCAATTCAAATCAGGATAAGATAAGTCAAAGCTCCTTTTAATTTATCGATTAATTCAACAATCAATTTATTCATATTAAATGTCCAACATTAACATCTAGTAATTCGTCAAGGCTACCCATTTGACGAAAATTCATACGGTATGACAAAACATAAAATGTCCGTTAGCATGAAATAAAATCCTTTCATCAACTATGTCCTAATTGTTTAAGAGATATGGACTTTAGTGCCAATATCATTCACCAATTATGTTTTTTGTTACCTTGAGCTTTCGATTCAATGAGCTGTATTTGAAACTCTTTAAAATCATAACTCCACCTTGGTCAAGGACTTTCAATATCAATAATCAAGTCTACGGAGAATGATGAATCCCATCTTGATTATTCGTCGATCTTCATGTAATTTCGCAATACCTAATTATTGTTGTGGTAGAAACCCTAAATAGAGTTATATCCAACACTATCAAAGTACGATGATCAAACACATAAGATTCCTTGATGATCACAATTTTAAGGATCAGCTTAACAACCATCGCTCAGAAGAAGTAATTCACTGACACTCAAATGGTCACCCGTATGGATCTTTACGACAGGCCTCCAAGTAACTTAATCATCTAACAAGCATCCAAATATCTACTCGAGCTTCCCCAGACTCTAGTTAATGAGGTGAACTTATCTCTTCGAAAGAAAGAAGAGTAATGTGTACTAGCCTATCCGGATAGATCATATCCGTATGTCATTTGCCCAAATGACTAGGGATTGTTCAAGAATAGATCAACATGAAATGTATCTCATTATCCCAACTCCTTTTGATTAACATATCACTCCCATTTATTCTTCAAACTCCATTATTCATACACGTTTATCTAAATAAAAAATATAATGGAGATGTCAATAAATAGAATTAATTGCATTTGATAATAAAATAAAGTCATTATACTTGAAAACCCACTGGACATAGGGTTATTTGTGAGTGGATGGGTTATTATTTGTCCAGTTGCTAAAGTATATATTTCACAGGTTGGAGTTTTTTTCTTACGTTTCCTCTCAGAACCCTTGTTTCATGGGGCCAACCTGGATTTACTGATATGGATATATTTGTTGGATTTGATTCATTATTATATATTAATATTAGTTTGTGTTTCTTTTGTTGCTTGTTCCCTTTTTAATTACCATAATTTTGGTACTCAAATGACCTGGGGTACTAACCATGGAGCGTGGCTTATGATCAGTTATTCTTAGTTTGGAATAAATAGTTTATGATTGTGGTCTTTCTCTCTTTGACAGAGCATTTCATTGATCTGAATTACCTATAATATTATATTATTATGATTTACAGAACTTCTTCGGGAGAATAAGAGAATGCTTGATAAATCAATTCGCGAAATAGAGCGGGAGAGACAGGGTCTACAAACACAAGAGAAAAAACTTATTGCTGAGATAAAGAAAAGTGCCAAGCAAGGGCAGATGGTACGTGGGCTCTCCAGATTTAATATGCTTAGCTTCTGAATTGTAAATGTGATGTTGTTTTAACTCATTTTCTCTATAGAGATAAAGCCATCTTGCTGCCTTTTTATGTTCCAGAACTTTAAATTAACATTTTAGCAATTGATTTAGTTCCTTGAAAATTTTTAGTGATATCTAAGAGGAGAGCCAAAGCAGCCTATCTCTGATTACAATTATTATTATTATTATCATCATCATCATCATCATCATCATCATCATCATCCTACATTGACTAGGTAAAAAAATGAATATTTTTCTTCACAAATCATGAAATTTTAATTTTTGATGCAGAATATGATAATTTCAAATCTACTGTTCTCCCACATTTGCAATAGGTGTTTATATCATGTCAGATGCCTGTAAATTATCTTGGTTTAATTTTTATTAATGGACTGGCCCCACTTGGGCATGTGAAAGAAACAAAAATTATGTTGCATGTTTCTGGAAGCTATGATATTGCTGTACAATCTTTTCTGGAGAAAGAAAAAAAAAATAAAAAAAATGAAAGAGCCCTTTGCTAATTTATTTTCCTGGAACTGGAACTCGCATTCCTTGAGTCCTTTAGTAAGATGATGTTGTATGTATTAAGGAATAAATTTGAGGCTGAAAAGTTAAAGAAAAAATGGAACATGCGTATAGGGTGAAAATGTAGTAAGTTTTGACATGTAATTAAGCCTTGAAATAAATACAGTTTCTATAATGATTTAGATGGGGACAAAAGAATTGCACTATGTTAATATTTCTTCTCACCTTTTTCTGTTTTGTGTTTGAACAATTTCAAATTATTTTTGAGTAAGGTCTAGATTTTTGCTTTACCAATTTTGGCAGATAATGAATTATAAAAATTATAATTTGGTATCTAGCTTACGCCAGATGACTGAGGGCTAGAAATCATCAAGGCAAGTCAAATTCTTTTAAATTCACGCAGTCACATATGACTGACATGTTAACAGAATTTTAGAATGAACATAATAGGATTTTGTGCTGATTGTTTCAATTCTGGTGTTGGAATTCCTTGAAACATATGTCAGGTGCTACAGACCATTCTTGTCCCGAAGACATCGTTTCATATTGAAAATGAATACTAGTTCACAAATCAGCAGTTATGGAAGGGTTCATTTCAAAGATTCTTTGGAATGTTTTTGGTAATCCTCTGGTTTATGATTGACAAATTCATTCCGAACATTTTGAATCACTGACTGCTAGTTTCTTTAGATTCACCAATTGCATTAAGATGCTCCTTATGATTTCCTTTTTTCTTGTCTTCCGATATTGTTTCTGGAAATTGATTAAATTGTAGTTAGTTATTATTGTGCTTCCATGATAGAATCTGATACTTTTGGTTCCATTAGTGATTCTAAATGCAACTCATTTGGAGCCCAATTACTCAAAGCCATTTTTAAGTGCTTTGTTGCAGGGAGCTGTTAAGGTGATGGCTAAAGATCTCATAAGAACACGTCATCAGATTGAAAAATTCTATAAGCTCAAATCCCAACTGCAAGGTGTATCCCTCAGAATTCAGGTATGTTGTCATGACTTGGTCATTTAGATTTGATTTGGGACTTCAGATACAAGGTGTATCCCTCAGAATTTGTTATAGTAATTGACTTTGTGACATTTTAAGTTTGTATATCATGTATAGTAATTCGTTTTGATCCAGATAGTTTGGTTATGTGGATTTGATATGTTAGCCATGATTTTGGTTTTAATTCATCATCAGTCGTCCAATATTGTATTCTTTTCAATAATTTATTCAGCAAAGAATTTAATCACGAGTTAACAAAATATTTGCTGAAGGAGAACATAACAAGTAGGGTGGCACAAATTGATAATTTTTTAAGGACGGACATGTATTGCAATCATTTAGACCTGAAGAGGCTTCAATTTGTAAGAGAGATGCGATGCCTGTAGAAGAATTTAGAAGAGGGAGGGGTAGACCAGTACTAAATTTTCGTCTATTCCTGTTGTAGTTCCTAAGGATTTAATATTACTGGTTCTGTCATTTGATGTATCAATAAATTGAATGGAGTGGTGAAAGAGAATCTATGTAGCCGACTGCAAAATTCTTAGGAATAAGGCTTAGTTTGTTGTTATAAACTATTTCATTTTGCAGTTTCTCCTTTTTTCCTATACTTCGGTTTGTAAATTTTTTCATTAACTTCAATACCTCTTTCCAGACATTGAAATCAACACAAGCAATGGGGGAGGCGATGAAAGGTGTTACAAAGGCAATGGGCCAAATGAATAGGCAAATGAACTTGCCATCCCTTCAGAGAATAATGCAAGAATTCGAAATGCAGAATGAAAAGATGGAACTAGTAAGTGAGGTGATGGGAGATTCCATCGATGATGCACTGGAAGGAGATGAAGAGGAAGAAGAGACGGAAGAGTTGGTGAATCAGGTTCTTGATGAGATTGGAATCGATATTAATTCTGAGGTACATCTTTCTCCTTTGGTTCTTTGTGTTGGATTTGAAGATGATTTTTCCTTTAGCAAGTGCTAATTAATTCTTGGTTTGAACTTGATGTAGCTTGTTAATGCACCATCGACGACTGTAGCAGCCCCAGCTGCAAAAGGTAAGGTTCCACAAGCTGAGTCAACAGAAAATGACGATGGCGGGATAGACAATGACCTTCAGGCCAGGTTAGATAATTTGAGAAAAATGTAATTGACTTGTAAAGTACAAATTAACTGGTTAGACTGGACGAGATCACGGCTTTGTAACATCTGTGAAGATTATTAAACTCCATACTTTAATAATTTCAATAGAGTACATTTATTTTTCATGCTCTAATGTTAAATAGCATGTTTGGTACACAATATTGGACACGACTTAACATTATAAAGTTTCTTCTTCTTTCTTAATGTTGTTGAGAACAATCTAGATTAGTCTCGAAGAGTAATAGTTCATATGCTACGTAGTAGAACTAAACATCCTGACCGTTGAAAACTCTTCAAACTTTTAACCGATCGTACGAAGTGAAAAATGCACAAGTTCGTAGTATGAATTGTCACCTACAAGGAGAAAGTTCCTTTGTGTTGAACTCTATTCAACTTGTTACGGATTAAGCTCTATTCCATACTTTCAAGAGCAGTACAAATGAAAAGGCAGTAGTGCAACAAGCAATGTATACACAGAGTTCTAGTGGTTCATCTCAATCATCCACTATTTACTACTAGTTTTTCTGTGACGAAGAGAATATAAGGTCTTGCCCTCACCCCTCTCTTTCACTGAAAAACAGCCCTCTGAAAAATAGAAATACGAGGGTGATTTGATACATGTGTGAATGTTCAAGGTAGGTTGATATGTGGTCAAGAAATTAATATTTGGGTGGGGTCTTATTCTTTTCCTTTCCTGCTTATAAGCACCAAATAAGTCCCTTCCAAAGAAAATAAGCTCAAGTGTGCAGTATGATTAAACTTCACAATATCTAACATATTCGAAGGACTGAGAATCAAGAGAGAATAGAACGTAGATGCATGTTTTTGGGGGGACAAGCAAAAAAAAAAATAAAAAAAATGTAGCAAGTTGAACTGAGGGATTGGGAACTTTCCAGAATATGTAATTATGAAGACACGACCTTCCAGTATGTAGGTGTATATTAACTCGAGACCAATATAGCTTGGATAATGTATAAGATAACACTGGAGAGTATAATGTTGTTAAGCTCTGTGGCACGGACACTTTAGTTAGGGTCTGAACGTATCGAACATGAATACCCGTCGAACACTTTACCATAGTTATTTTTCTTTCTTTATTAGAAATAATATGTATTTTTAACTTAAAGTTATTATTAACTAACAAATAGGTACTCATATTTAAAAGATTTCAGCAAGAAAAATTAATAATTAGTATAAAATTAAAGTTATACTATATAAATGAAGAAATTTAAATAATTTAATCAACACGTCGACTATGTATCCTATCAATATTTATTTGAAAAATCATGTGTCGACCTGTCCATATTAGTCCATCGTAGTCGTTAAGTAACACGATAAACAGAGACGTAAACCAAAGGTTGCCTTATCTTATCCCTTGCATTCAACCTGTCCCAGTCTTATTTGTTTGGGGCCCAGTCTCTCTTGTTTTTGTCCCACCCATGTCTAACCAAGTACGGAACTTTGTGTGTATTGTATTGGCCTATTGGTATTATCGATAACCTTTTCCGTACTAATTCCCCTTTTTGTATCCTATGCCCATGGAAGGTTAGAATCAACCCCCTTCCTAAGGCAGTGTAATTTCTTTTTTATTATAATCAAATTCCAAAAATTTCTACTTAAAAAAGTTGGTTCTTTAAGCCTGTGTGTATACTAGTTCACCTTAGAATCTTGTAAGTAATTACTATTTACAGTTCAACGGCTTGCAAAAAGACAGCAATTCCCACTGCACAGAGGAACTGCTACCAGAATTGTTGCCAAGTGTGATCTGTTGCAATTCTGACAATATTTTTCTGTACACGCAGTAGAGCTAGCAAGAAGATTAGGGCCGTGTTTGAAAGGAATTTTGAGAATTGATTTTTTGATCGTTTAGAAGAAAAGTGAGATCCATCTACGAGGGAAGAAATAAAAAATTACAGTTAAAATTGTGAAATAACGGTTAAAAAATCAAATTTTTAGAATAAAAAAAATCCCTCCCAAACAAACAGGCTGTAGAACTTTGCTACAGGAATAAAACTTTTTAACAGAATTAATATTCTATTAAATAAAATCTGTAACTTTAGAAAAATTCAAAAGATTATCTTTGTAATTTGGACATTTTCATCTGAGTTCATCATTGGCGTCCACACACCAAAGATAGGGCACTATGCAATATTATGCACAAATGGTATGATTCCATTCCACACTGTCAATGATTCACAAATTTCTAAACCAAGTTGCCTGGATCCGGCAATCCTTCCCGAGAGTTCTCTAATTGATCTGTGCCGCGAAGAACCGGTGGCTCGACCAGGGAACGACAAAGTGGACAGTTAAAGTGGGAATAAAGCCACATATCAATACAGGGAGCATGAAAACAGTGCTTGCACCGTGGAAGTTGCCTTATTTCTTCACCTTCTTCAAACTCTGATAGACAAACAGCACATCCAGAGTCATCTGCTTCATTTTTCTTGTACTTAAAGCTGGACAAGACGGCTTTCTTCTGTTTATAAAATCTTGGGGTCGAGGTAGATTCGAGGTCACCAGTACGTCCCAGGCGTGTGCCAGTGCCACCATAGTACTCTGTGCATAATTTTACAATGATGAGATTGTACACTACAAGCACAGTTGCAGCCGTTCCTAAGACGAAGATGCCATAATATAACATGGGCAAGTTTGATTTTTGTAGAAAAGGTGGGGGTAGTGGGGGAGGAGGGTGCATATGGGGGATTGGAGGTTCTCCCATGGTGTTTTAGTACACAATTGCAGGGGTTTATTGAGATGATTGGTGCTTTCTGTAGTAGATTTTAGTTACTTATAATTTGATTATAATCTGTTACATCTTGAAACCATGGTCCTGAAAGAGTACAGAATTTTATCTACAAAACTGTGGGTTTTAAATATACGGGGAATCTAGACAGTTTATATAATAAATAAAGACAAAATAAATAACTTTTTTGTATAAGATTGGGATGAATCATGATTGATAGAGAATATTTGAATTAAGAAATATCTTTCTTGTTAGGAGTCACTTCAAATAATTTATAGGCATGACTTAGAAATTCTAAGTAGGGATGGTGAATTTCTTAAGTCTAGTCCCGCCCCGCGTTGCCTCGACCAATATCGGATATGACTCGGGCACTTCTATAGACAAAAATTTAGGGTGTAGTTGGTTTTCATTTTCATTTTCAAAACGATTTTTAGTTTTCTCCAAAATCGGCCATTCTTTCGAATTTTGAGCGTTTTTGACATCTATAATTGAAAACGCTAAAAAGTCGTTTTGAGTTTTCTGTTATAAATTTTAACTCGTTATCGAAAACGACGAACCAAACTCGTTTTCTGCGTTTTCGAAAACGAAAAACGAAAAATGGGTCGAAATGGCAAACCAACCACGGCCTTAGTTTCTTCTTCTTTCTTAGCCCGTTATACAGCCATATTTTGTGTAGAATGAGTCTTTAAAGAGTAAAATTTTCGAGTTTACCTAAAGAATATTTTATTGTGAGAGCGTGTGATTAAAAATAAGTATAAGAAAAAAGAATATTGGGAAAAATGGTTACAAAACAGGGCTTAATATTCTCGAACCGAGTCCAACCCATATGCCATTAGGGGTTAGAAACTGCAGCAGAGCCTTTTGTTTTGCCAAATTCTCCCCATCTCTTCCGTGTATAGTTTATGAATATGTGACTGCAAGTTCTTGCGGGTTTGTTTGTCGAGAAATGTGTGCCTTCTGGCACATGCTCTTCGAGTTTTCGCTTGCTTAGGTCCTCTCCCGGATTCACTGGCCACTTTAGCTAACATAATTCATATTCCCACATGTATCGCGTCGCCCTCTATTGAAGTAAGCGATTGGGAATTCCTAGAATATCATTAGTAGGAGGAAAAGACCTTCCTGTCTATAGATTTATTTACTCGAAATTGTGACAGTTTGGATATGACGAATCGTGACACTGGAGAGTGACAAGGTTGGTAAACAACACGAAAAACAGAGACCAAAAATGAAGGATTACTATTGCCTGAATTTCTTATCGTTTGAATTCATGTTGGCCCTTTAACCCAGAGTATATGTATAGTTGGTCGGATTATGCCATTTGTACTTGTTGGTTTACATGTTGGTTGACACGGTTCCACCCGACCTCTCACATGGGAAAAGTCGGGGTCCACGGCCACATGTGTGGGGCCGACCTCGACCTCCCTATGTGAGTGGGGAGGTGGGCCCGTGTCAACCAACATGTAAACCTCCATATACTCATAGCAAAATTCATAGTTGGCCATACTGATTCAATCTTCTGAGCAATTCACTGTCTACAATTCTATTTTGATATTTTCATCTGAGTTCATAGGCCCAAACGCACCAAAGATAATGCATTAGCCACAAATAGTATCATTACATTTCACTGTCAATGGTTGACAGACTTCTAAACCAAGTTGCCTGGATCTAACAATCCTTCCTGAGAGTTCTCTGATTGCTCGGTGACAGAAGAAAACTGGCGAAGAACCGGGGAACGACAAAGCGGACAATCAAGGTGGGAATAGAGCCACATATCAATACACGGAGCATGAAAACAGTGCTTGCACTGTGGAAGCTGCCTTATTTCTTCACCTTCTTCAAACACTGATAGGCAAACTGCACATTCAGAATCATCATCTTCTTCCCCTGCTCTATCTTTCTTGTACTTGTAGCTGGACAGTGAGAATTTGTTCGGTTTCTTGAATCTTCGTTCGAGGTTAGTGGTACGTCGAAGGCGCGTGCTATCGGAGTATTCTGTGCACCATTTTACGACGACGAGATTGTATAGAACCAGCACAATCGCAGCCGTTCCGATGACGACGAGGCCGTAATATAACATGTGCAAGTTTGGTTTTGGCAGAGAAGGTGATTGGAGTGGGAGAGGGTGCATATGGGGAATTGGAGGTTCTCCCATGGTGTTTTTGAACAAAATGGCAGAGGCTTATTGAGAAGTTTGCCGTTCTGTGATATGGATTCTTTTCACTTATAATCCATTAGAAGATTAAATCTTTTAAGCCATTGGTCTCAAGGAATCTACATGAACTTTATTGATAAAATACAGGCAATTATGTACAATAATAAAGACAAAGTGAAGTACCATTGGTACAAGATGAACATGAATCTCAATTGAGAGAGAATATTTGAATTAAGTAAAATAAAGCACATGATTTTTAACTTTTTTTCAATATCATCGATATTCTGATAAAAATTAATATATGGTTATAGTTAGAGATTAGGAAAGGTCATCATCGATACATCTTGCAATGGTGATACTATCAGTAATTATACGAAGGCGATCGTCAACGTAGTTGTCATTATAAGTGTTATCTACGCAAGTTTATTTTTTATTTTTTAATAAGTTACCGATGGCGTATTCTGTCATTTAAGTCAAGATATTTGAAATTTTTATTTACAATTTTAACTGCTGATAAGTTGATTTTATAATTATATTTTCTTAAGATGAAATTTTAATGTTATTACTTTATTTGTTGACATAATTTCTTTCAATAAATTAAATTTTATTATAATATATTTTTTTTTAATATTACAGACGGCAAATCTGTTTGTAATCGAAAATAATCTATTTAATTATCTACAGAATTGTATATAATTAACTTATTTAAATTATTTTTTATTAGTCATTGTCATGTTACGTTGCTTTCATCTGATGTCACAATCACCAATAATATCATACTGCAAGTAGAGATTTTGTTTCTCTCTGCAAGTTGTTTGTATGAATATTTATAAAAAATTATCTCTAACGGATAATATAAACTAATTAATTGTTTTTTTATTTATTAAATTACTATATTTTTTATAATGGTTATGGAGAAATTCTTTATTAGTTGATCGATTAACAAATTATGATGCTTCCTCGATGGCAATTTTGTCAAGGAAAATACTAGATGTACATAATTTTTGTCCATAAGGGTGTCCATGCCTCTCACATGAGGTGAGACCTACAAAAGTGTGGGCTCCACCCCATGTGAGAGGCATGGACACCTTGATGTACAAAAATTATGTACATCAAGCAAAGTCCTTTTGTCAATATCGGTAGTGACTCTTTGACACTTGAATGATTACAAATGAAGCCCTAACAAATTACATATCTTGGATTTCGTGTCCGAATAAAGAAAGGAAAAATTAGGCACAATACCCTTCAAAAATAAAAAATTAGAATAATAATCTTAAAACTAATTAAAACTCGTAATCTCGTAATTAATACGGTTAAAACCCCTCAAATTACCAAAACTCCAGAAGCCCCAAATCACCTATTGTAGATAATCGAGATCTTATAGATTAAAAATCAATCGGGGGTTCTCACACCGAATCAGGTATGAATTTCTCTTTCAATTTCACTTTGAATTAGATTTTATACTCGATTCTTCCTTTTATCATCTTGAAATATTAGTTCGCAGGTCTTCACATCCTACAAATTTCCCCTTTTGTGTGTGTGTGTGTGTTCGTTTATTCCAGTTCTTGAAAATTTAGCTTGGATTAATACCCCAATTTTTTTAGACCATTCAGTCAAGTGCATGAACTTGCTTTTACTTTTCGTTCTTTTTCCACTTTTTGGCTAATTAATAAATATGGAGTATTGTTTCCTTGAAATAGAGTTACTAAGCCTACTTTGGCCTCTATTCTCATTTTCATTCTTTTTCTCTCTTATTTTTAATCACACAATCTTCTATAAAATAATATTAAATGCAAATTAAAAACTTTTTTTTTCTTTTTCAACCACATATTTTTCAAAAAAAAAATATTCCAACCATTAAAATTTGAAAAGAATGAGAGCCAGATGGGGGCTAATTAGGAAAGTTGGGTGGTTGCACTTGGGAATTATTTTTCCTTTGATTTTTTAGCGGATTCATTTATACTAAACTGCAATATTCATTAATTCAAAATATTTGGTAAGAACTTATTTGGCTTAATTGTTTTTGTGCATAAGCTACTGCTTTGGAAAAATTGTCTCACCGCTATGTTCTCATAGTTATTCATGTAGTTAAATTTACTGCATTCATGCTCTGCTTTCTCGTTGATGAATGCATTTGGCATGTGTTAAATGAAATTGGATTTCTTTCTTATCTATTTCATATAATAATAAGTGAAAATACTTGTCATAACGATCACTCTGCTAACACCACACGTCTCTTTGTTGGACATTTATCTTCAAGGACCCCGATCTCTTGATCTGGAGGACATACGTCTATATGTAATTGACTATTTCAAGATGTTCTGATTATTATCAATGTGGTGTTCAAGTCTATAGTCTGGATTCATTCATGGTTTGAGGTTGTTGGCATTTATTATGAAGCTGTTGCACTTTTGTTCATCTCGTAGTTGAAGCTGTTGCGCTTTTGGAACCCCTTGCTGCAACCAGTGACGGACGCAAACATTTGGTGTTAGTGGGTGACGAGCAAACTCATTAAAAAATTATTTATACTATATCAACACATACAAGTTATTATTGTCATAAATTCACAAATTTCATATATATATATATGTAAAATAACAATTCTCAAAGAATTCTAAATAATCTCACATATATGATAAATAATAATTTTCAAAGAATTTTCAAATTAAATATCGCAAATGACTAAATAATCTCAACTCTCACTCTCTCAATTGTTCGATTATTGCTGTAACTCTATTCTAATAAAAAAGTCCAACTACCGTTACTGCTCAAATTTGATCTTTGGTTCTAAAACCCCAAAAAGAAAATAATAATAAATAAAACCCTGAAAGTTGTCTAGCATCTAATGGTGAAATTTATGTATGAAGTAGCTATTAAGTTGCTAATGAAATAACTTATGTTTTAATTATTAGATTTTGAACTAATATCCGTATATTACCTACTTTTACACGGACAAAATCCATTATCCTATGATTGCCTGAACTTGGACTAGTCTTTTCAGGAAGTACCCACTTAACGTGTCTATGAATTGAGTATATAAACATTTATCATGTGATTATTTATATATGAGATCGATCATTACTTTATAGAATACATGAATGCTATCAATGTGTGAAATTGAATAATTTTATCATTATCTCATCTTAGACTAAACAGGTTGACTCAAGAAAATTTGAGTGTTTGCCATTTTTTATTTATTTATTTTTTTACTTTGTCACTTTTTGAGTGTATTTCACTTTTTTTGAGTGAGTCACTTTTTTTTTTTTTTTTTTTTAATCCGTTTAATTTTTTTTTTTTTTTTCCCTTTTTAAAATTTGTCCTTTTTTTTTTTTTAAAAAAAAAAATTTTTTCCTTTTTTTTTTTTTTTTTTTTTGAATCCGTATAACTTTTTTAATTTGTGTCACTTTTTAAAATTCGTCACTTTTTTTTTTTAAAAAGAAAAAATTTGTCACTTTTTTAATACTTGTCATTTTTTTTTGTTTTTTGTTTTGTCATTTTTAAGTATTTGTCACTTTTTTCAATTGTCTTTTTGAAAATTCTATCTATTTTTTTAGTGACAAACATCATTTTTTTAATAAAAGTGACATTGTTTCTAATTTTTTAATAAAAAGTGATACTAAACTTTTAAAAGTGACACAATTTTTAAAAAAAGTGTTATTGTGTTACTTTTTAATTTTACACAGTATTTTTGACTTCTCAAAAACTTTTCATATGATTTTTCAAAAGATATAAAATTTTAAGGTTATTTTTATAAGTTGCCCATAAAGAAAGTGTAAGGGAGAAAAAATATTTTCAAAAATTGCGATTTCTAATTAGGATTATCATCGACATGATTATTATTAGAAGTTAACTCTTTATTTCTATTTATACTCAAATACATTTTAGGATTTTGCTATGTGTACAACAAGTTTGATATCTCGGTGTACAGTCCCCCAACAATAAGGGGCAAGCAATATTTTTATTGGTCGTATCCATTAATTTGCACATTTCATCTTTAATGATAGTTTCATCCAAATATCATGTTCACGTGTTTTAAAATGAGAAACAATTTATTTGTAATTTTTTTTATTATTGAAACTATGAGGGATAGATAAGTCTTTTTACTCTCTTAACGTAATTTTTAGACAAAATTGTCGTCATTGATAAAATACTAATTAATAGTTGGGTAATGATGAGAATACGATGAAAAAATTAAGAATATACTGATCGAGATCCATGTATTCATTCCTCAATTTATATGTTATTTATTTGTTGCTTTTAACGTCTGAGTTTGCCAGCTGAAATGTCATAAACATAAATTTTGATGGAAATAAAATTTGAATAATTTTACGTGTACATTATGAATACATTTATGGAGACATAACCCATAAAATTTTATAAGGCTGCAAAATTTTGTTTTCATATTATAAAGTTCTCATAAATTTCCTTCTATAAAGAAAGATAAAGATGGTAAACGCACGTGTCCGATGATGTCCGCCTAAAAACCTCGAAAGCCTTCACTTTGAATTGTCAAAAGGTACGCGGTGTCCAAACAAGTTGCCCCTTATCACTCTCATTCTTTTTGTCTTTTTAAGGTTTGCGTCCTCGACACGATTTTATGATAAAAAAATTTTAAGTTCACACCAATATCTCTTGATCTTTCTTATTCATCTACTTGAAATTTTCAAGTTCAAACACGTTACTCAACGTCCATCACTAGAAACACCACCTCCCGTCCAACTTGCATGTGTTAAACATGCTGCCAACGTTCATTTTGAGCCAAGAAAATATCAAAAATGCCTTATTCTTCGTATTCGAGATGCTAAACTAAAATATTGTAGCGTATGTATTGATGTGTATACGGCTACTAATGTTAAATCGATCCTCTAATCCAATATTCACTTCTTAGACTTTATTTTTCCATTAGCCATTAATGTAAACACTCTCATTAATTGAAATTTATTATTATAGTCCACCAAAAACAAGGAATTATGTGACAAGAATTTTATTGAAAAAATTGACCAATTCTTAGAGAAGTTGCATAGAAAAGTCCTCCAAAAAAAGGAGAATTAGGTGAGATTAGACTAGAATTTTATGATAATTACATGCAATGAACATCGCCAACTTTTAAAAATATTATTTACATTGAAATATTCACGCCGATTGCTATTAAAACGATTAGAATGTGAAAATTCAACTTAACCTAATGAAGTTATTTTAATTTCAACATCTTGAATACTTGTCAAGACATATCTTGATTGCTATCAACTTATAAAATATTATTTACATTGATATTTACCTCAACTTCTATTTTTTATATATTTTATATTTTTGGTATTTAAAAAATAAAAAATATTAAAAATAAGTAAGTGAGTAAAGAAACGAAATAGAAAATGAGAATATTTTAACCTCATCTCTACCACTTGGTAAAAGTTATTCTTGATTATTCAGTTAATTATAATTACTATCATGAATTTTTTTCCTCTCTCACGAATAGGTTTCCCTTTGAAATCTTGAGATTGAAAGTTCAAACGTCGTTAATTACAATTGTAGTAACTATACTTTATTCTCGTGTTAATCGACTAATCATACTATAATTTTATTCCATCAGATAACTATTCTTTAATTTGATCTCAGTCGTGTAACTACACTTTAATTTGATTTCAATAGGGTAACTTCATCCAATTCCGTCACCTAAACAAACAAAAACCTATAAACAAGTAGCCAATCAATAAAACCCATCATTTATTTAACTGAAGTTGTACATATTTCACGTCATTAACTAAATATTTCATGTGATGATTATCATTTATTGACGAGCACATCATAAATTTCTGTCAATAAAATTGACCAAAGTATTCTTAATTAAAATCAAATAAAAGTATAGTTATCTAATTAAAATTATATTAAAGTATAAAAAATATTAGATTAGACAAAACTAAAGAACTTGCCACAAATGTAGGTAATCCTTCAAACATACATAATTGCATTTATGGGAATGTAAAGAATATGATCGTCCAGGCGGCTGAGTTGGTTGTCCCTTCGCTATATATATTAATATACAATTTATCAGGCCAAGATCTCAGTTGAGTTAACTTTTAAAACTCATTAGGCATTATCCACTTGAAATATTGCTAAAGAAAAACGTGGCTTACCTGCTCCAACAATTTTTTAATCATTCTTCATGTTCACACGTTATGCAAAATCTATTTTTTTTTTTATACCAACTTAAACCAAGGAAATGCAGACGAACTTTCTGTTTTTTTTTTTTTTTCTAAGCAAAGATTCAAAATAATCTTATGCTGACAGTTGATGGATTAAAGAGAAAGAAACAAATTTTGATTCTTTATAATAATTTTCTTGATCAAGATTGTAAGTATTTCTTGCTGTAGATTGTGTGTTGAATGTAGAGATTGGATATTCTTTGATGGAAAGTGATATATCATTGAAACAGAGGGCTGGGAATTTAGATGTTGTTGTGGAGATTCAATCGCCGAGCTACGAAGAAAACGGGGTGGCGTTATCGAATGAGGAATTGTCAAGATTTCAAATGAACTTATTCACAAGCACTTCGACTCCTGCAATAATCGACCCGAGTTCAGTATCTGATCCTGCGGCGAAGCCACCTTCAGGGGCTAATTTTCCACCTTCAGGGGCAAATTTTCGGCGAAGATCATTGGCGAAATCTGAATATTCTAAGCCTAAGTCACGAATCGTGGAGCCTCAGTATCCAAGTAGTTCGAATCCGGTTCAAGAAAATGCTCAATCTGTTGTTGGAAAGGCCTCGGAAAGAAATTCGCCAAATGTAGGTTCGCCTTCCGTTAAAGTGAATTCTAGTAGCCCGAAAACATCGGTTCCTGTCACACCTAGGACGCCTTTAATGGCATCGGTTGGAGGAGAGGATGACGATGACGATGACGATGATGATGAAGAGGTATACAAGACAGAAAATGTTAAAATCAATAAGAAAAAGCACGGCAAGAAATTAAAAGTACTGATTTTGATTGAATGGATAGCATTCGTAAGCATAATGGCAGTTTTAATTGCTAGCTTGACTGTTAACAGATTAAAAGATTCTACAATTTTGGGTTCAAAACTATGGAGATGGTCTGTTCTGGTATTGGTAATTTTTTGTGGTCGTTTATTTACTGAATGGTTGACTAATTTTCTTGAGTTCTTGATTGAAAGAAATTTTTTGCTCAAAAAGAAGGTTCTTTATTTCTTATTCGGCTTGAAGAAGAGTGTTCGCGTCGTTGTCTGGTTAGGCTTGATTCTTCTGGCATGGGGTTTGTTGATTAACCGAGGGGTTAAACGATCCTGGAAAACTACTAAGGTTCTAAATTTAATAACAAAAGGTATAGCCTCTAGTCTTATTGGTGCAGTTATGTGGATGGTGAAGACATTATTGATCAAGCTATTAGCTTCTTCTTTTCACGTTAGAACATACTTTGACAGAATTCAAGAATCGATATTTCATCAGTACATACTTCAGGCCCTTTCGGGGCCTCCATCCATGGAAAATGCGGTCGAGAATTCTACTTTCAGTCGTCAGTTGAGTTGCAAAAATTTGAAGAAAGGGAAACAAGAGAAAAAGGGGGAGGAAGTGATTAATGTGGAGAAACTTTACAAAGTGAAACGAGGGAAAGTCTCGGCTTGGACTATGGGAGGGTTGATGAAAGTGATAAGGAATTCAGGGCTGCCGACCATTTCTGAGGTACTCGATGAGACTGTTGAGGAGGAGGAGGAGGAGGAGGAGGAGGAGAAAAAAGTTATTACAAGTGAGGTCGAGGCAAGGGATGCAGCCAATCGAATATTCAAGAACGTCGCAAAACCAGGTCACAAGTAAGAATATTTACATAACCTATGTTGTTTTCTAGTTCATGTCTTTTCTTGAATTTCTTAAATTCGCGTTACGATATGGATTAGGTATATAGACGAGAACGATCTTCTACGTTTCATGCCAAAAGAAGAAGTAGATAATACTATTCCACTCTTTGAAGGAGCTGTAGAAGCAAGAAGGATTAAGAAATCATCCTTCAGAAATTGGGTGGTAAGATCTCTATACAAGGTTTTTAGTACATATAAACATGTTTGATATAGTGGATTAGACAGCACTGAACAGTATAAAGAGAAAGGAAAATGATATATGTATAGCACCAAGTGGTGTACACATTTACAGCTCTTTCACAAATGTTCAGTCCGCGACTATTTTAATCATGGCCCCCACTCTTATATGTGAGAGGGTTGTCAAGTAAGCTGTCAAAAATGGTATACTTGTAGCACATTTGGATAAGAAAAGGCTGAAATTTTGTCTATTGTAGTGTCTAATACAATCTAATACTACATAGCTGTTCTGGGATTTTCCTTTTTTTTACAGGTGAAGGCTTATAATGAGCGAAAATGTCTAGCCGTTTCTTTGAGAGATGCAAAAACAGCTATCGAGGAGCTAAACAAAATTGCCTCCGGATTTATTCTGATTGTGATCATTATAGTTTGGATACTTTTGATGGAAATCACAACCACCAGAGTTTTGGTGTTCATTTCATCTCAGATGTTACTCGTAGTTTTTATGTTTGGTAACACTGCAAAAACAGTGTTCGAAGCAATCATATTTGTGTTTGTGGTACATCCATTTGATGTTGGTGATCGTTGTGTCATTGATGGTATTCAGGTAACTTCTTAGGCCTGCAATACATTTTTCTTCGGGTTAACTCTCTTTACTTCCTGTAATTCATGAAATCCTAATTTGCAGATGGTTGTTGAAGAGATGAACATTTTAACCACGATCTTTCTAAAACCGGACAATGAAAAAGTATATTATCCCAACGCAGTTTTGGCAACCAAACCGATCAGCAATTTCAACCGTAGTCCAGAAATGATGGGCGATGCAGTGGAATTTGCTGTTGATTTTTCCACTTCAGTCGAGAGCATAGCAGCATTGAGAGCTAAAATAAAATCGTAAGTTGATTCTATCCTTTCCTACTCTCTTATATCTTTCTTGAAATGCAAAAAAATGGGATGAGGGACGAGGGTATGCTTTTTCACGACGTCAAATTCAAGAAAATATCAAGTTGCCTGACCTTCGAACTTTGAAATTTATCAAAATTGTCATTTGCAGAAAGATTGTTAGATCAAGTTTGAAAATTTTAGGCTCATTACTTTGTGTAGGGAACCTGGCATGAAGCTTGATGTACTGGAAACTGATAGTCTTGGCAAAATTACTGCTATAAGTTATGGACAGGAGACTTCTCCTAAGGTCTGTCCTGTGAGCATTAATCTTGTTCAACTACTTACCAGTCCACAAAAACCATCTTCTCTTTGTTTAGTACCTAAGTTCGTCGCTTTCTTATTTGTTTCCATTTAAAATTTGACGTCGTTCATTTGTGCATGATCATCAGAACTCAATTCTCTCTTTTTCGTCCCAGCTGCGATTCTGATGTGAGATTTGAACTTTCATAGTATAAAATGAACCGAACTTCTTTAAACAATAGTTCTTTCGATGTCCCATTTTCTGTTTTTAGTCGAATCTGTCTTAAGAGTGACACAATAGCGATAGAGTACTATATCAGAATGATTGGTACATTGTAACTAACATTGTTAATCTCAAATCCCTCTTATTCTTTTCTCATCTTCAGATACTTGGATAGTAAGCCTCAACACTGGCGTCCGGGACATAGTGTACTGATCAGAGAAATCGAGGATGTGAACAAGATGAAAATGGCCCTTTATGTTACTCATACCATAAACTTCCAAAATGCTACAGAAAGGGGCAATCGAAGATCGGATTTAGTCTTCGAACTGAAAAAGATCTTCGAGGAACTCGGTATAAAGTACCATCTTCTACCTCAAGAAGTTCAAATCAGCTATGTTGGATCAACAATACCTCCATCTGTAACTGGTTTACGTTAAGGAATTTTTGCTAACATTTGTAATCTTTCTTATAAAATTTTTGTTTCGTGTACGAAATTGCCCTTGTTTGGCTCTCTTTAAAATTTTAAATTGTTTACTACAGTATCATTATCTATCACATATTTACATAATAAATATATTCTACACACAAACAGATAAATTTCTTTACTTTTAAACCAAACGTTATCCCAAAAAATATCATTCAAAGTTCTTTTAGGCCCCGTTTGATTCTTATTTTTCTCACTTCTTTTTTATCACACATTCTTCATCAAAATAATATTATACATAAATAAAAACTTTTCCTCATTTTTTATCTATACATTCTCCATCAATTTACTATTCTAAAATTCATTTTTTCAAATAATTGGATTTCAAAGACCCTTTTAACTTTTCAAATAATGGGCAACAAATAAGGGCTAAGTGACTTCATCAAAATAAACAAATGAAATTTAGCCCCCGTTTGAACCCCATTTTTTTGAAATGAAAATGAGCGGAGTAGTAGTAGTAGTAGTATTATTATTATTATTATTATTATTTTTTTTTTTTTTTTGGGAAAAATGAGTGATTGAAAGAAGGAAAAATTTTCGATTTAAGTATAATATTAGTTTATGAAAAATCGTGTAGTTGAAAATAGAAAAGAAAAAATGAAATTTAACTAGGGCCAAACGAGGCCTTACCCAATTGAAATTTCGATAAAATCTAGAATTGTGGTAATGTCAATGAGATAACCTTATCCACCAATACCAAGTGTAGAAGTTGCCACATGGGACTAAATTAAATCCTCTCAGATTCCCACCTCTCATTTCATCTCAAAAACACTCAATAATATTCATTCAAACAACACACAAAAATAACTATCCTTCAGAGTGAAAACTGAATAGCAATGGCAGCTTCCTCTTCTGCTGTATCGATGGCTATGCCGTTAACCCTCGCAACCCGTAAGACACACCCGAATGCTCACGCTTTCCTCAAGCCGATACCGGTAAATCCCTCGAAGGCCATTGCAGTCACAAAACCTGTTGCAAAATTTGAAGTCAATGCTTCACTGAAGGAAAAAATGATTACTGGCTTGACAGCAGGTGCATTGACAGCTTCGATGGTCGTTCCCGACGTGGCCGAAGCTGCAATCGGAGGTTCTCCCTCGCTGAACAACTTCTTGCTGAGCATTGTGGCTGGTGGAGTGGTGCTTGGGGTCATTCTTGGTGCAGTGATTGGTGTTTCCAACTTTGATCCTGTCAAAAGGAGCTGATAAGACGGTTCTTTATCTTTGTATCAGAATCTTTTCCTAATCGTCGAATGTTTTCATGTATCACTTTACTCGATTTGAATAGATAACTTTCTTGTTTTAAACCCAAAATTTGCATCTCAATTTTCATAAAAATGTCTTCATTATCGGATTAGATTGATTCATAAGTCGTTAATGGAGTTGAAGTTACTAAATTCTGAGGAGTCGGTTGGTGACCTGATGACAGGGGAGCCGGCGACCGAAGCCCAGGTGAACAGCAGCCCTAAATGATCGCTCAGTGATAAAGGAGGTAGGGGTGCAGAGACAGCCAAAAGATTCCTATCCCAATTTTCTTTTGCTAGGCCCATAACTAAAAAACCCACTTTCTTACAATTATGAGGTTTATTCGAATATGAAATTCAATCTTGAAAATACACGTGGAAAACTTCAAGAGGAAAAATCACAAATATTTGAATGTACAAATGTAAAGATTGGAGTCGTGACCTCGATGCCCAACTTAATTCCAATCTTTTGTTGTAAAGCAAACCCTCTCGATGGCAAGAAGTAAAGACATTTTGTCTTGCTCTTCTAAAAGATTGTTCTTAAAGAGGTCATAAATTCAAAGCGTACCAATGTTAAGGACTCGATTAGATAGGAAAATTGCAAATAAGTTTCAAATTGATTGTACAAGTCAATTAATAAATTTGCAAATCAATTCGAAGTTTTGAAATACATTCCTTCAATTAATTGATTGTTCGATGTAGATTAAAATCATATTTTTATTAAAATTATTTATTAACTTTAACTTGAAATTTTTATCTAACTTTTAGTTTATACCAAACAGAGGATAACTATGTTACTCATTTCAAAGTTGATCGAGATTTGGGCTTTCGATCAACCATCAAACTTTTGATGAAAATCATCCAGATACCAAATCTTCTACAACTTAAAAATAATAGTGTAACTATTAATAAAGAAAAGAGCTAAAAGAGGATCCTATCAACTTGTTCTGTGTACGGTAATTGGATTGATGATAAAATAGAATCTTGGATCAGGAACAGTACTCATAAATGTGTCCACATTTTAATGAATTACAAATACTAACAAGCAAAAAACCAGCAGATAACTGCTCCTTATGATCAAAACCATCTAAGCACTTGTAATTCACAGTAATATGGAAACCGGAAAACACATGCGAAGAACAGAGGAGCACTAGAATAAAATTGATCAACTATTAGTATATAAAGGGCAATCATAATCCATCCATGTTACTTAAAAAATGAAGCAAACATCATTCTACAAAAAGCTAAAAAAATCTTGCTGATATAAATCTGAAATTGGTCGAGTCAAAACAGGTCTTCTCAAGTAATCATCTATCAAAGATCAAAAACACGCATTCAAGGGAAGTAGAATAGACTCGATGTTGAATAAATTTCAAATATAATGATCATCTAAGATTGAATCTCAACTTCAGTTGACAGCACAGCTGGCCTGATGTACTCTTCTTCCTTTGGAGGATGAATTGTGACAAGATCTGGAAGAGGAGTAGTCGGACCTTGCTTTCCTTTGGGATCCCAGTCGAGCATGATCTTCACCTTGATTCCAAGTACTCCCTGAGCAAATGCACGTAGCTCAAAACTTTATTAAGAGAACAAATGCAGAATGGAATGCAACAATACTGACAAAATGCTCCGTCAGAAACATGAGATAAAAGTGAAATAAACCTGTCTAAGGAGAACATGTCTAACTGCATAGTCAATATATTCTTTCACCGGTTGACCAGAAGAAATCATGTAGCCATCTTTGAACTTCATGGATTTCGCACGCTGAGCCCTCAACTTCCCACTGACAATCACCTGTAACTCATACCAACTTAATTACTGATGAAATGCTACAGGATAGAAGCCATAGAAAATCATGGTCACAAAAATCATTCCAAGCATACCTCACAACCCTTTGCTCCGTTGTCCATAACGAATCTCAAAACACCATAGCATGCTCTAAGGAAGACAAAAAGAAACATATTACTAGCCAAATATTATCATAATAAATGACAGATTAATAAAGAGAAATTGATGGATTAAATCCCAAAAAAAAAAAAAGGGAAGAAAATAAAAAATGAAAATCCACTGATATCCTAATCCTTAGGATAGAGGATTGGAAAAAAACTGTGTAGTTCAAAATGTCTGAATCAGAGAGTTCTTGCTAACAGCCTTCATGAAAAGGGAGAAAAAGAACAAAAAATTAAAAAATAAATCCATATGATGAACTCTCTTTTATTCATCTTTTTATTCATGAAAAGTTGAATCAAAGGAAGCTATGAAGAGATATGATTCGAGCTTCCAATTTTAGGATTCCAAACTACCCTTATAACACAGTTTGGAAACTCATTAATAATTTGCAAAGTAGGATATTATGACCAATGGTAAATACCTTAGAACACCGAAAGTGTTTTCATGCTTATCAAGAGCAGGCAATAAAAGTCTGAGGTAAAAGGTCTTGCAAGAATTTTGAAACTTTTTTTCAAAGAATTTAGCAACCTGTGGTATATTAATAAGGACCACACACAGGTCATCAGTAAATATCTTGGAGATGTTAATTTTTTGATTCATCTTCCAACACAAATACATCTTGAAACCTATTTGCTTTATAGATAACAGGTAAATGTTAGGATAACAAATCCACATTTTGAAAATCAACAAACAGTTCAGTATTCGAAAAGAAATATTCTTTAGTGTTAAGAAAAGATAAAAAGGGATTAAAACAAAATATTTGCATGGAGTAGATTAATGGCATGTTTCATGCACATAAGCACGACAGAGAAAAAATAACCCCTCGCATGCTTTTTCTCTCGCTTGTTTATATAAGACATGCCTGTGCCAGTTCAAACCTAATATACAAAAGCAAGAATGCATTTCACCAGGATGATGGCGTGGATGTAAAACAGTTTTCTAGTTATTGATTTCCCCGTACAAAATGCCTATAAAAGCATCTACTTTCTTAGTGACTTTGATAATAACATTATAACAAACATGGTGGTATCTCAAACCCAGCAGCAGACCACTATAACAACTTGCCAATTTCACATTACATAGGAAAGTATAACTAATAAAAGATAAGATCAAACAGAGTCAAAGCTGATGGCAAACAAACACACTATAACCATTGTGATTCTATACATCCAATCACACACAAAAGTTAATCTTACAAGAAAAATACCAAAAATAAAAAAAATAAAGAAAGGAAGGAAAGAAAGAAGGAGATAGTATATTTCGAGAATTGATGTTGCCACATAAATAATCAAAATACATATAGAACACAAGATTAAGTTGGCAAATAAGAATCGATTGAATGAAACAAGATCCAGCTGATTACCTCCTGACAGCAAGGCCACCAAGGAGCTTGTATCTGAGGGACTCAGCCTGGGCAATTGCGCACAGCCCCCTGTTGTTGACCTTCTCAGCGTACAACTCCACACTGTTCTCTGGAAACTTGAACCTCTTTTGTACCACAGAGGTCAGCTCCCTGATCCTCCTTCCTTTCTCACCTATCCGTAGAAATATCAAGAAGAGCGATTCCACTACAAGGTTAGATTAAAATTTAAGAGAAAATGAAACGATTAATTTGAACCACATATTTCCCGGAACCCACAAATTTTCAACTAGGTATTCCTATCAACTTTTATCAAAATTTACTAAAAATCTGATTTTTATCTAAACAAAACATGGGCTAAATATGAAAATGTAAACTATTAAAGCGAAAGTGAATTATAACTAATTTACCACCTAAAAATGGAAAACAAAAAAAATTTACAAGACAACTGAACGAAAGACATGAGCATGTCAAAATATTTAGAACTTGAGGCTATCTCCTAAATATATAATCAATTTCAAAATATTAAATACCATATAATAAACGAAATAACAAGAATTAAAGCAAATTTAACAAAAACAAATTTTCCGAATATTCTTTATCAAATTCAATAGAAGAGAGAGGACATAATTACCGAGAACATTCTGCGTGCGAGTAGCACGGATGATAATCTCAGTTCTCATGGGAGTAACCCTGACTTCTACCCCAGAATATCCATCCTCCGCAAGCTCACGAGTCAACACCTCATTCAGCTCCGCAAAGAACACGCCATCAGCTACAAACTGCAAATTCAATTAAACAAATTAATCAATAAAGCATACAAATTTACATTCCAGGCACAAATGTATATATCCATAAATTGAATCGCAGAGTAGACCTTTCTCTTCTTGCTCATCTGAGTAGCCATTTTTTATTTGCAGAGAGAAGAATTGAGAATGATCTGATCTGAGGATTCTTTTGCTGCGCGAAATCAAAACGAAGTTGAAATTAGGGTTTTCAGCTAGGGAATATATGGATGGGCTTGTTGTGTGTTCTAATAGGCTTTTAGGAAGTTGGGTTTCCTCAACTTGGGCCAAGGATATCTCTGAGCCCACTAACGGAGAAGGTAAAATAACAGTATTTTGAGGAAATTTTATCATAGCTAATTAATGATGGCAATGGGTCGGGTTTGGAGCGGAGC